TCACCACAATTACCCCCATAACCTTCATCATTATGATCAACAGTATCGTTACCATCACAAGCATACATAATCATCACTATCACATCATCTCCATCATCCCCATCCCCATCATCTCCATCTCTCCATCTCCATCATCGCCAACTGCATCATCTCTACCTCTCCATCCCCATCATCACCAACTCCATCATCTCCATCTCTCCATCTCCATCATTACCAACTCATCTTGATTATCTCCATTACTACCACTGTTATCATCACCATCATTACTATCACATACCAAGTAAGTAGCAAAGCTAGGATTTTAAACCAAATCTTCTGACTCCAAATTAAAAGTTGTTTCCATAGCACCACTCCCTGGGCCTACTTCACTTAGGAATCTGGGGACTTCAGTAAAATGGGGTTAACAGTCCTTATATTACCTGAGGTATAAAGTATCCTGCTAGGTTGTTGTGAGGAGAGTCCTTAGCAAATAAATCTTAAAGCATTACAGAAGAGCTGCTATTGTTGTTATTATCATGATTATCTTTATTATTCTATAGCCCTGTCTCCTGATACTGGCCTCTTTCCCTGGTATGCCTCTTGGATCAAGCCTTTGAGGGGAGAATGGACACTGCCCACTGGCTTTCTAAAGAGCCCATGTGTGGTCTTGGTATGGCAGCAAATGGGTAGAAAGTGCTGTATGGGAGTGAGGTGCTGGGGGAAGGAGACTGAATCTCCCAGAAGGATGTTCCATTCAGTGGTAGCCTTTGATCTACAGTGGCTTCTATGGTCACAGTTCCCTGAATGCCCTGAAGAACAGTGTTGGGAGACTAAGGAGTGAGAGTCAGAAAGCAAACCTTCCTCTCTTCCCAGTCCCAGTGCCTGGGGTAAGGGTGCATGATTAGCATTAGGCAAAGACTTATGTCCCAATAACTGGGAGTGGAAAGAAAGGGGCCAAAGCACAGAGTGGCCCACAGAGCTACTCCAAGTTTGGGATTTTTTGGGGTCCACCCTGGAACATGTTCCTCCTAAGCTCTGGCTGGTGAACAGGGGTTAGTTGACCATTTTATCCATACCCCTGCCTCCCACAGAGAAGACCACAAACACATCTAAGAGAAATAGTTGTGTCTTCTAAAACACAAGTGGATCCTGAACTCCCCTCTCACAATGCGCGCGTGCGCACACACACACACACACACATTGAAACATCATGAAAAGTCTTGTTTAGGAGACTCTGGAAGAGACATCGTGAGGGAGACCCTAGTTGGAGTGGTGCTGTTGCTACTGTCCCCTTAATTGTCTCTCTAGGGGCCTTCTCTACTGGTCATCCCCCACTTCCTTCTGGTGCTTCCCGCTCTGGACCCACCCTGGGAGCTTAATTCCCTGTGATCAGTGTGTGGTCCCTCTTTTTAAGGTCATATTCCCTGAGTCTTTAAAGGTGACCATCTGAGGCAGCATCATGGCACAGTGGGAGGAACATTGGAGACAGAGTGTCTGTTCCTACCTGAGTGACACTGGGCAGGTAACTTTCCTTCTCTTGGCTTCAACAGAAAACAAAGAGGTTGGAGTAGAGCATCTCCAAGGTACCCACCAGCTCTAACTCCTATGAACTCAATGATGAGAGAAGCTCACTTTTGACCATGTGCTATGAGGCAGGACCTTCCCCTTGCCTCCCTCAGGGCTGCTGGCTTTTATGCTTGTCGTATTGTGGGGATGTAATCCATCAAATGGGGTAAAAACCAACCCGTCCTTAATCCGTCCTTAGACTCCAGTTACCACAGGATCCAGTTGCAATTAATAAGTGTTGGTCTCTTTATAAGTTGGAGGCACATGACTTCTCCCTAACCCTGACATTCCCACTCCAGCCAGGTTCATTTGCCATTGTCTCTGCTCCCTGGAGGGTCATGCCCTTTCCTCTACCTGTTCACATTCTATACTGGCCAACATCCAGTCCCAATGAGAGTTGCCCTATATTGGAATAGACCAGCCTGGAAGCTAGTGAGCCTTTTGTCACTAGAAGTGTTTAGGCAGAGCTATTCTTCATGAGATGTGAAATTGGACAAGGTTATATATGTCTAGCTGCTTTAAGATTTACAAAGCACTTTTCTCACAACTCTGTGATGGAGTTAGTGTAAGAATTGTTATCTCCATTTTACAGAGGGGGAAACTGAGGTTCATGAAGGAGAAATGACTTGATCAGGGTCACGTAACTAATAAGTTTCATCAATGGGACTGTTAAGGTTCTTTTCAGTTCTAAAATGCTGTGACCATTACTCTCTTTCCTACGTTCTAAGGTTCTGGACTATTTGCTGTTCCTTGAATGTGGCATTACACCTTTGTATGGCCTCCACATGTGCCTCCGTGTACAAGCTGTTTCCCATGCCTGGAATGCACTCCCTTCTTCACCTTAACTCTTAGGAGCTCTAGCTTCCTTCAAGGCTCACCTCACATGCAACCTCCTAAAAGGACCTTTTCTTGATATTCCCAGTTGTTGCTGTGCACTCTCTCTCTCTCTGTCTCTCTGTCTGTCTCTTTCTCTCTCTTCTCTCTCTCTCTTTTCTCTCTTCTCTCTCTCATTTCTCTCTCTCTTCTCTCTTCTCTCTCTCTCTCTCTCTCTCTGTCTCTCTCTCTCCTGCACTTGCTTACTTATCCAAAGGTAAATGGTATGAAGCTTCATGAAAACAAGGACTGTTTTTCTTTTTGTGTTTGTATCTTCTCCAGTGCCCAGCACAGAGAAGGCTCCTAATTAGTGGTGACTGAACTGGTGAAGGGAATAAACATTTATATAGCCAGGCACTGTACTTAGTGCTTTACACATATTATCCCATTTGATCCTCACAATAGCCCTGCAAGGCAAGTACTATTATTATCTCCATCTAACAGTTGAGGAGGCTGAGGCAGGGAGAAGTTAACTGGCCACCCCAAGGTCACACAGCTAGATAGTGTCTGAGGCTATATTTGAACTCAAGTCTTCCTTACTCTAGGCCTAATGCTCTATCTACTGTGCTGCCTAGCTGTCTAAATTGACATGATTATGCTTTAGGAGGACCTACAGATTCCAGATGGGATAAAAAAAGGCCACTTTTAAGGGGATGCAGGTCAAGGGACCCAATCTAAATGCCCCAATGCCCAGGAAAGGAGTTTAATTCAAAGAAGTTCTGTGGGCAGACTCTAGGGATGCCACTGAGTTGGACATTCATTTGGTTGAAGAGAGAGCAGTTCTGGCCTGGGAAAGAGACAGAGGGGAGGGAGGGCCCTGTTTCTTCAGCGATCAGAGGAGATAAGAGCAATAGTTCTGGCTCAAATGGAGGTAGAAATCGGGGCAGACTAGGAAGGGAACTGTAAGTAACTATAAAAGCCAACTCAATGGGTAAACCTGTGCCACAGAGGTTCTCTGAACTCTGACTGGAGACATGAAAGGCTTCATCCAATCATTGACTTGTATGAAGACATAGATAGCAGTTTATCAGACTGGAAGGTGTCACCCCTTCCTCTCTTAATAGAGAAGGGATCTGTCCTGGCATCGATTGAGGGGAAGGATTCAGGTTAACTGACGTGCTGAGGGTCACATATCTAGTGGGTGTCTGAGGCTTTCTAACTCCAGGCCTGGTGCTCTATCCACTGTGCCACCTAATAGCTGTGTGACTCCATGCCTGTGTGGCCTCCAGAAATGGCCCTCTTTTAACCTCAGTTTCCTCATTTGCAAAATCAGCAACTATCTAGCCCATAGGGCTCCAAGATCATAGAGCAGAGACTTAAAGCTAGAAAACTTTAGAAGCTCTCTAGTCCCCCTGGGCAGGATTTGAACTCAGGTCTTCTGACCTTTCATGATCTAGCATGATTTCACTGTATCACGCTTTAGGGTTTTGGTTCCATATGGCTCACTTTGAACAGAATGATTGAAGAAGAGGCAGGAAAAGATAGAATTAGGGAGGCCTTGAAGACAGGCCACTGAAGAGGTAGGTGGCAAATTTTGGCTGCTTAGGAGTATTTCAGGGTAGGAAGTATTGGAAAGAAATTATGTTCTGCCAGCTCCTGTGGACTTTCTTTCTACAGTAACTCTTGTATCTGCCTGGTCTTCTCTACTGCCATGGTCATTTCCCTAGGTCAGTCCTCCTAACTGGTCTCCCTTATCCAAGACCTTTCTAATTTATTTCCCCTTCTTCTTTCTCTCACCTCTCTGTAGGCATTCTATGTCCTGGCCAAACTAGACAACTATTGCCCATTTCATCCTCTGTCTCCCACTTCTGTGTATGCAGACACTATATATGGAAGCACACTCCATTTTTCTAATTGTTAATATGCTTCTCTCTGTCTCCAATGCCTGGCTCAGGTGCTACTCCTTCCTGAAACTTTGCTTGATTTCTTCTTCCTTCACCCCTGGCTGAAACTGCTCTCTCCTCCTCAAATGGTCTTAGAACACATTGGCTTGTTCTGTCCTTAATTCCCATCACATACCAGCTCAGTATTTGTGTAGTGGTCATAGTTCCCCTTTAAAATTATAATATCCTTGAGGGCAATGGGAAAAAGGGAGGGAACAAGCATTTATTAAATGCCTACTATGTGCCAGGCACTGTGTTAAGTGCTTTACAGATATTATCTCCATATAATTTTTCACTCTCGTGTCTCTGGTGCCTAACAAAGGGCCTGGCATATAGTAGGTGTTGAATAAATGTTTGGTGAATTTGACTGAGGTCAAGAAATTTGGGTTCTAGGCCTGGAAGTTCCAGTCAGACTCTCCATCTGACATTAGGTAAGTCACTAACTTTTTTAGAGCAGAATTCACTCATTTTTGTGTTAACCAGTGCAGTGGATAGAATACTGGAGCTGGAGTCATGAAGACCTAAATTCAAATCCAACCTCAGATACTTTGTAGCTGTGTGACCCTGGGCACATCACTTAACCTCTACTTGCCTTAGATTCCTCAGCTATAAAATGGAGATAACAGGACCTACCTGGAAGGCTAGTTGTGAAGATCAAATGAGATAGTAGGCATTATATAAATGTTTACTACTACTACTACTACTACTGTTACTACTACCACTACGACAATGACTAAGATCATCATCGTCATCATCATCATCATCTCTTCCAGGCTTCTTTGATGATGTCTTTACCTTCACTTCTGGATGGGCAACCTCCAAGGAGCTGTCCAGGGTAGACAAACTATGGTATCAGAGCTTAATTAGTGGTTGGGGTGAGGACTGAAATAGACATGATATGGCTCAGTGAGTTGCCCAATCCTACTACCTGCATAATATCTCTCTATTCCAGGCCTTGCTCTCTATTTTCTAAACCAGATCTTCTTTTTTTTTTGGCTAGACTATTGTACTATCCCCTATTACATCAGTTTGTCCCCTCTCCTCTCTCCAATCCACTTTGTATACACTGTATAGATACTTAGTAGACAGTGAGTATTCTTACTATTGCCTCTCAAGATCGTGTAACTTTTCCACTCAGAAAACTTTAATGTATCTGCCTTTCCTGCCTGAACAAAAGTGTAAACTGCTTATCTGGCACCTGCAGCCTGCAGAATCTGATTTTACATTACCTTTTCATACTCGTCTTATGTGACTCCTAGCCAAACAAGACCACTCTTCATCTGCTGTTCTCATCCCACCTTGTCCCATCTTCACATCTTTGCTCATGTGATTTCTCCATACCTGGAATGAACTCTCCTTTTCCCACTTTGCCCTGATATCTTGACCTGCTGAAGTTCCTTTCTTCCTGGTCTAGTTGAAGTATCACTTCCTCCAAGAAGACTTCTCTGATGACTCCCCAGCTGGAAGTAATCTCTTACTCATTAATTTTTTGTCACAGCGTGTTGCCCGGACCCCTCTTGCATACTTATTGCTCTATCCCTTCCATTACAGAGTTATTTGTGTGCATGCCTTTCCCTGCTTTGAGAGCAGAAGTAGCAATGTGTAGAATGTGCATGAGACTTGGAGTTAGGAAAATGGACTTAACCCCCTCTTCTTATTGTCTTATTGTTTGTGTGATGCTGGGTAAGTCAGCCCATTTGAATCTTAATTTCCCTATCTGTAAAATGAAGCTAAGAAAGTTCCACATTATTGTGCAGGGTAGTTATGAGGAAGAAGCTCTGTAAATGTTAAGATGCTCTAGAAATGTGTACTATTGGTATTTCTATATCCCCAGTGCCTCATGTGTGGTAGGCATTTAATACACTTTTGTCAAATTGAATTCAATCAACATAAAATGGGTTCTGCCATCCCTGAGCTCATGAAAGATGCAAAAGTGAGGACATGTTGAATACTCTCTGGGGAATCAATGTTTCTTGTGGGCTGGAAATTATTATGAACTTCCCTCTGGAATAAGCTCAGGTCTTCTCCCTCAAGGTCGCCCAGATCTGATGAGGGACTTCTTCAGCTTCTGTCCCCAGTGGTCAAGGAGTTACCCCTGAAGATTTCTTCCAGCCCTCCCAGAATAGCTTTTTCCTCCTACTGTGTCCTGGCTAGGGCGACATGAGGATCTATCTGCAAGATGCCCCTTCCCCCCATCACTTAGCTCAAAACAAACACATAGCCATTCCAATCCTTTTTTCCTTTTCCTTTCTTTCCTTTTTTTTCTTTTTTTTCTTCTTAGTATTTTTTCTCCCTGACCTCCACAGCTTCCCCTCCCTTCAATGGAGTATCTGTCCATCCCCCAGGTGGCCCCAGCTCCATTCCTGGTCCTGAGAAGGCAGCCATGGCCCCTTGAACCTGTGTACTGACTAGGCCTGGGAACATCTCCTTGACCCCAGGCTCAGTCAGAGGGACCTCTGGTTCGGCTTGCACTTGGGAATGTGAGGTCCACAGGGCCCCTGGGGGGGCCTGGCCTGAGTACAAGGGTGGGGGCAGGCCTCAGAGTTCAGGCACAAGCCCAGGGTCTCTGCCCCCTGGATAGGTGGGGGGTATAGGTCACATGACTGTTTCCCTCTCCTCCTCCAAAAGTGGAGGGGGCTGTTCCCCAACCATTGGCTCATAGATTCCAGAGCCATTGAGATACCCGTCATCCTTGGTGCCAGGCTCTGGGCCAGATGAAGGCAATGAGTTCTCAGAAATGGAGCCATGTTTCACATAACCAGGCAGCTGGTGATGGCCATTGGCACTGGCTCCAGCCCCAGGAACTAGTCGAGGGCTGAGGGACAAGGCCAGCCCCCCTCGGGGTCCCACATTGGTGACACTTGTGTGCGAAACCATGGGGCCATAGCTGTAGGTGCTGCTGCCACTCCGGGCCTTCCGCTTGAAGTCCAAAGCCAGGGTCCATCGGCTCCATGACTTCTTGATCTCTGCTTGTACCTTGTGGGGAAGGATGAGAGACAGGAAGATCAGCCTCAATGACCCTCCATTCTCAGTGTATGGAAAGAAGTTGGCTTGGGGATCAGGAGAAGCCTGAGTCTGAATTCTGCCTTAGGCATTCACTAACTGGGTGACCATGAGCAAAGGACTCAACTTCTCATTGGGTTAATAATACCTATGCCTCCTACTCCACAGGCTAGTGGCAAGGGTCAAAGGAGGTCACATTCCTTAAGTCACTCTACAAAGCTTAAAATTGGGTGCCTTGCCTGGACCTCTGCTTTGCAGCTAGGTGGCTCAGTGGATATAGGGCTGGGAGTCAAGAAGACTTGAGGTCAAATCTGGCCTAAATCATTTAGTAGTTGTGTGACTGGGCAAGTATTTAACTGCTGACTGCCTCAGTTTCCTCAACTGTAAAATAGGGATAATAATAGCACCTACCTCCCAGATTGTTGAGAGGACCAAATGAAATATTTGTAAAGCACTTAGCATAGTACCTGGCACATGGCAGGTGACTAATAAATGTTTGTTTCTTTCCCCCTTCTTTACCATTCTTCCTCATGTCATATTTGGTATACATATTGCATCCCTCTGACAAGTCTCTAAGCTCCCTGAGGGCAAGGGACATGGTTTCATAACCTCATTGCATCTTTATTTCCATTGACCAAGCAGAGGGCACATTCCAGGGATGGGTCAGGATTCACACTTACCTCTCCATTACAGAAACAGTATATTATGGCAACAAAAAATCCCTGGGGAAAGACAGACAAGACAAGGATTCCTTGAATAGTTTTCTCAGAATCTCCACTGCCTGACCCATGTCCCATCTCCCCAAAGCCTTCCACTTCCAGGAAGACTACCCTGCTGAGCTAAATTGAAGCCCCATGTCCAAAACATTCTTCCCAGATTTAACTACAGCTTAAGGTAGAGAAGGGGCTAAAAAGTCCACCCTATTTTTAAAAGTTCTCCAGAAAAGGAAGATTTCAGCACCCCCTTCCCTTTTCACTCTGGGTTGGGATCTCAGTATACCGAGAGAGTAGGGGGAAATTCTCTCCCTGTTTCCAATAATAGAGTGGGACAAATATAATTAATGACATTTTACAAGATAATTCACACATTGCATTTGTCATATTGAATTAGATTTATTCCCCAACTACTGCCCCTTTGCCCTGTCTGAAAATGAAATTACATCTCTTGACCACTAGGGGGAATTTTTATGTAGAAATTGTATGTAGCCTGTGAAACTAAGATTGTAAAAGCTGGAGGTGGGGGATAGGGGTAGGGCCGGTTGGATGGACATTTTCATGGGTGCAAGTCATTATAAAATGATGGATAATGGCTTGCAAATTTCACAGTTGATAACAACTAGTTTAACTGTCTCTATGAATCTTTGACAGGCTCCTGGTGCTTGTGTAAGACTCAACTTTGGGGGCACCCAGCTAGTTGGTGCAGTGGATGGAGCTCCAGCCTTGGAGTCAGGAGGACCTGAGTTCAAATCTGACCTCAGACACTTGACACTTAACTAGCTATGTGACCCTGGGCAAGTCACCTAACCCTGATCGCCTAAGCAAAAAAAAAAAAAAAAAAAAAAAAGATTCAACTTCACTACTGCAGAATAGAAGAATGTTTGTTGATTTCTTTTTCCTCTGGAAGGTTGTGCAGGACTGAGTACTTTGCAGGAAACTCTATCCTTGCAGGGTCTGGAGATTGTCCTGGACACTACAATAGTTTTCAAGTTGGTCTCCCTGCCTTAAGTCCCTTCTCACTCCAGTCCACCCTCCCATCCTTGGTCAAAATGGTCATCGTAAAGTATGGTATTGGTCTGACCAGGTCACCCCATATGCTCCACTCAGTAAATTCCAATAGCTCCTTTCTATCTCTAGGACCAAATATAAAATCCTCCATTTGGTTTTCAAAGCCCTTTGTAAACTGATCCTTTCTTCCTTTCCAGTCTTCTTATATCTTATTCTCACTGATGTACTCTGCAATCCAGTAACACTCGCCTCTTTTGCTGTTCCTGGCACAAGATATTCTGTCTGCTGTCTCTGGGCGCTTTACCAACTGTTTCAATGCCTGGAATGCTCTCCCTCCTTATTTTTGACTCCTGGCTTCCTTCAAATCCAGCTAAAAATGACCTTTTGCAAGCAGCCTTTCCCAATCCCCCTTAATTCTAGTGCCTTCCCTCTGTGATTATCTTCAATTAATCCTGAATAGATCTTTGTACATAGTTGCTTTCATGTGGTCTCCTCTATTAGACTGTGGGCTCCTTTGAGAGTAGAAACTGGTTTTTGCCTTTCTTTGTATCCCCAGGGCTTAGCACTGGGCATAGCATATCATAGGTGTTTAATAAATGCTTGTCAACTTGTCCCAACTTTATTTTTGTGTATGAAGTTGTGTGTTTCCCATGAGGGCAGCTCCTCAGGCACTGGTCCAGTTTCCTACCTAGGCAGGTGGGTTTCAGCTTGTGTCACTGCCAAGGGCATCACCACCCTTCCAGTCACCCAGGTTTGCAACTCCCTAAAGCACAGATCTGACCATCTTGCTCACTTCCCTGCTAAAAAAAAAAGACTTTAGTGGCTCTTTGTTGCCTCGAGGATAAAATATAAAATCCTCATCATCTTGGCATTGAAAACCTTCACAATCGGATTCCAGCCTACTTTTCCAGACTTAGAGTATTATTCCCCTTGGAGAATTTGAGCAACATGAGTTTCCTTCTCCCAGATTCCACTTTGTGCTTTTGCACTGGCTGTCTCCTCACTCTCCCCATGCCTGGAATGTTCTCCTTTCTCACCTCCTCTTTTAGAATTCCTAGCCCTCTTAGGCCTCAGCTCGGGTGCCAGTGTCTTCAAGGCCTCTGATGATCCCCCAGGTGGAATGCAAATCCTTGAGGGCAGTTTAATTTTAATTTTTTTGCTTTTTTTTGTGTTCCCAGGGCTTAGCAAATTGCCTTGCACAGACTAAGTAGGTAATGAATTGTTGAGTGTTTTGTGGTTGAGAATATGATTCTAACACACCTCCCCCACCACCTACCATTGCTTCTGTGAGTTATTGGGGAAGGCTGCAGCTAAGCTGACCTAGGTGTAGAACATTTATAGTCTTAGCTCTATCAGCTTGCCCATCAGATCCTCTTTTCCATACCTAAAAGAAAAAGCTACTTACTACTATTTATACCTCTGCACCCCCTCTGCCCAAAACTTCTTATAGAGCTAAGGGGGTGGTGTGGGATGTGTGGAGGTTGGGTGCCACCTGTTACCCCCAGATTCCCCTTGGGTCCCAAGTACTGCCTGATTAACTACATTTCTGCTATAAGGGGGAAGAGGATTTATGGAAACAAGAATGGCAAAGTGAAAGTTTGGCTGAATGTGCATGCAGGGATGTGCTGCAACTCATTGTTAAATTTTTGCTGTGTTTGCATCTAGGAGATTGACAAAGTTCTGGCTGAATGTGCATGCAGAGATGTGCTACAACTCACTGTTACATTTTTGCTATGCTTACATCTAGACTGGCAAATGCTACAAATCAGGGGCTTGGTTTATTGTTTCGTTGATTGCCCAGACTTAAGAAAGTGATGGACAAAATGTTACTGCAGTAGATTAAACTTTTTAAAGTGTCACACATTTTCCCGAGAGACAATTGTTCTTTCCTTTTTTTTTTTTTTTGCAAGGCGATTGGGGTTAAGTGACTTGCCCAGGGTCGCACAGCTAGTAAGTATCAAGTGTTTGGTCTGAGGCCGGATTCGAACACAGGTCCTCCTGACTCCAAGGCCGGTGCTCTATCCACTGCGCTGCTTAGCAGCCCCATTGAGAGATAATAGTTAAACATTTACCAGCCCGTCCCTACCCCACAATAGGCCAGTGATCTGCAGTGCCTGAGGACCCGATGGCCACACCTACCTGGAATGAATTGAAGAGCATTTCATAGTGCATTTGGATTTGCCAAAGAATCCCTGATACTTCTGTGTACGGCATGGCCATGAAGACAATGTAGTGCACCCCAAACAGCGGCATAAGCACTAGTGTGGACTTCAGCAGCTTTCTGCAAAAGGAGGTGGCTGGTCAAGGTCAAAATCAAGGTCAAGATCAACTCTTCCTCCCTCTCCATCCGAAACTTTGCTTGTCTTTCAAGACCCAGTTCAAGGGCATTCTCCTCCAGGAAGTTTGCAATTTAGAGAATGAAGGGCTGGGAGTTGGAAGAGGGTCCTGATTAGGGCCACTGAATGGGGAGATGAAACATGGTGCAAAGGAGGAGGCTCACCTGTACTGTTGCCTTGTGTCACATCTCCCTGCATTGGTCTCCCGGAGTTTAGTAGCTAGTACTCTGATTATATTGATAAAAAGAATAAAGTTCACCTGTGGGAGAGAAAAAAATGGAATATTCTAATTTAGGGAGAAGGGATTTCAGAGTTCTCTATAGCTGGGGGAAGAAGGTGACCAGATAGCCCTGTGGACCCTTTTGCCTGGGAGAGAGTATCAGAGGTCTGATTTCAATGCAGTATAAGAGAAAGAAAGCTGGTCTTGGGAGTCATAAGTTCAAATTCCAGGTTTGACACTTAGGAGCTGTGTGACCTTGGGAAAGTCACTTAATTTCTCTGGGTTTTAATTCCTGTATCAATAAAATGGGTAGTTTGGACAAAATGCCTACATTCCCTTCCAGATCTGACATTCTTTGATGCTTTGGGACACGTGGGACTCCCGGGGAAGAACACTGCCTGCTGCCCTTCCTCCTACTTATTCCGCCTCCCAAGCATTGTCTCTTTCTGGGTCCTAAAAGTCAGATCTCCCATGAAACCTTTCCAGAATATGCCAATATGTCAAAGGCCTGTGATTTAGTTGGTATAGGAATACTCAGCATGAACTCTATAACCTTATTAAATACTTGCTGATTGATTGTAGTCTTGCTGCCTGAGCCTCAGAGAGGAAGAGAGGTCAAAGATGGACTCCATCCACAGTTACATAGCTAACTGAATGCCAGAGGCAGGATTTAAACCTGAGTCACGATGACTCCAAATTCAGTACTCTATTCATTATACAACACTGTGGTCACCTTCCACAGGACCAGAGGGACCAGATTTGGAAGAGACCTTAGATATAATAATATAGTTATGATTTAGCTCCTCACCTTCATTTAACAGATGGGGAAACTGAGGCCTAAGAATGAGGAAATATGATGGATTGAATGAGAAGACAGATGAGAAAGCCAACTTGCTCAAGATCACTTGGTTAGTAAAAAAGCAGGACCTTAAACATGAGTTCTTTGACTCCAAATCTTCTGTTCTTCCTATTGGATCAATCTTCTCTATACCCTTTGCTCTCTCTAGCCTGCCTCTTATACTCAGAACCTGGGGAAAGATCCAAAGAGGGGCCATCTACCCTTTTTTGTTCAGTCATTTTCAGTTGTGTCCGACTTTTCATAACCCCACTGGGGGTTTTCTTGGCAGAGATACCAGAGCATTTGCCATTTCCTTCTCTGGTTCATTTTACAGATGAGAAACTGAGGCAAGCAGGGTTAAGTGACTTGCCCAGGGTCACATAGCTAGTAAGAGTCTGAGGTCAGATTTGAACTCAGGAAGATGAGTCTTCCTGACTCCAGGCCCGGTGCTCTATTCACTGTGGTGCCACCTACTTGCCCATAATTGGATAGATAAACCTAGATGCCTGGTTCGTATGAGGATGGTCAGGTCCTCTGTAGGCAGCTGCGCTGTTGCAACAGCTTTTTAACTGAATCTCTTGGACTCAATGGCCTTCTCTACCCAGCATGTTCAGCATATCCCACCACGATGCTCTCAAGTGAAATAATGTATGTAAATTTCTCTGGAAACTTTAAAGCACTTTATAATTATCGGCCATCACTGTTACGATTATCCTTATCAAGCAGATGGCATATACTAGATGGTCCCTAAGACCCTGCACCATAGCTCTCATCCCCTCATGATTTCATCTTTTTCAAAGATTCCCCCTTGTCCCTCTCTCCATCCCCCACCCCCCAGGTCTCAGCCTGGCATTCAAGGCCCTCCATCATAAATGTGCTGATAAATGAACTCTCAAAAAAAAATCTGCAGGCCATACTTTTAATTTTAATCTGCATCATTAACATCTTCTCTGTCACTTTATTAAGTCAGCACAGTCAACAAAGCAATAAATCAAGCCCTGATTTGTAGTTTGCTCATTTCTAAAGTGTAAATAAATGTTCACACTGAAAATTTAACAACTGGCTGGCTCCAGCACACCCTGGTGCCCCCAGGCTCTGTCTTTCTTGTATCACATGACTCCTCTCTTGAGCCCTTTACTCAAGTCAGGCCAGACTTCTCATTATCAGTCCCTTCTAAGTCCCCAATCCTCCAAAGGCCCATTCTTTGCCTCTCTCCTGCCTATCACTCAATCTGTCCAAATCTTACTTGTCTTTCAAGGGTCCTCTCAAGTCTCTCCTGACCATCCCAGCCCACCATGATCTCTTCCTCCTCAGACCTCCCACAACACCTACTCTCTACAGCCCTCACTTGGCTGTAGACGCAAATGAACTAGAATTGCAATAGTTTTTTCTTGGGTGTGAGTTTGGTCTCCCTATCTAAAATGGAAGTACCCTGAAGCCGTGTGTTTCATATAACCACAGAATATCAGAGTTAGAAGGCACCCCAGACACGTGTCTGGTCTGACTTGTACCTGAGTAGAAATTTCCTTTGCAATATCCCTGACAAATGATTCATCCACCCTCTGCCTGGGGCCCTCCTGTCACATGGAGTTAATGACTTCCCTCTGGTGTCTTTCTTATGTTGCTCATCTCTGTATACTTGTTTGTACATAGTCGTTCATTGTTTCCCTCATTAGAATTAGGAAATGTCTATTACCTTTCTTTGCATTCCCAGTGTTTGGCACAGCCTAGCATGCAGTAGGCACTTAATAAATGTTTATTGATAGACAAATACAGAGAAGACTGGGCATTTGTGGGCAAGAATGGGGGGGTAGAATTGAAGATTGCATTCACTTAGTGCCTGGCACATAGTAGGCACTTACTAAATGTTTATTTACTTGTTGATTAGAAGTTTAGGTGAATCAGCTTCCTAATAAGGCCTCAGGGCTGGATAGCAGTTTGTTTGAAAACAGGATTTGGGGTTCTCAGTGGAAGACAAGCTTGATATGAATCAACAGTGTGATATGGCCACCAAAAAAAGCTAATATGATCTTGAGCTGCTGTAAGATTAGCACAGTTTCCACAAGTGATGAGGTGCTATCCCTGTTGTCTTTTACCATAATCAGGCTCTGGGCACCATATTTTTATAAAGGACATTTACGAGCTGAAGGGCAAAGAGAATGGTCAAGGATTTTGAATCCATTCCACAGAGAATGGGTTGGAGGAACAGGGATGTTCACCCCTAGAAGAGAAGGCTCAGTGATGGGTGGGACAACATGATAGTAGTGTTGAAAGGCTGCCATGTCGGAGAGGGATTTCACTTGTCTTGCTCAAGCCCAGAGGGTGGAACTAGGAGCCATAAGTGAAAGTTACAAAAAGGCAAATTTAAGTCTGTTCTCAGGAAAAGCTTCCCAACTATTATTAGAGCTGTCCCAAAGTAGAATGGGCCACTTCAAGAGGTAGCATGCTCCTTCTCCCTGGTGACTTTCAAGAAGGGGCCAGGTGACTACTTGTTGGGTGGATTTGTAGAAGGGATTCTTTCCCCCCAGTGGGCTTGACTGGCTGGCTGCTGAGATCCCCTCCAACTTAAATTTTGGGGTTCAGTTCTCCCTGAGGGCATGACCTGTATTTCCACATCAGACCAAGGCAGTTTGGTCTCTCCATCCAAAATGGAAGCTCCCTGAGGGAGGGTCCATGTGATTCATACACATCTCAGACTAATAGAGGTGGAAGGGATCCCAAATTCCATCAGGTCCAACCTGTACAACGGTTCCAACAGCCTCGGAAGGCCAGGAGTATGTTTACCACACAGGTTGGAGCTCCTTGAAGGCAGGGGCCACATGTCCGTGGACCTCCCTCCCCATCCCCCAGGCCCTGCTCACCACAATAGCTGCCAGGATGGGCACTTGTATGATCCATTTCTTATTCCCCGCACTCAGGTCCCAGCACCTGGGGAGACACAGACAGGTTCACTGTGATCAGTCCCCAGTGGCATCCCTGATGGGTTCCCCCCACCCTGGGCACAGATCCTCCTTAGACCACTCCTCTAGGCTTCATGCTTAAAGTAGCATGTGCAAAGTACCTGGAAGCACCCTAGTTTGGTGTCTATAGAAGGCCCCCACCCTGTTAAACCACCCCCTGACGTGTCCTTCATAACGGACGTAATTGACTTTCTGATGCTGGTATCATAAATCATAGCCTTGGACACCTAAGACAATCCTGCTCTGAGGTTCCCCCCAAAACTCCAGGGCCCAAAAGACCCCAAAGGAGGCCCCAGACTTACTCGGTGTTGGCTAGTGTGGCCCTCACGATCACCCACACAGCGACAAACACGGCAGGGAGGCCTGGGGAGGAGAGTAGAGGAGAAATACAGAGAAGAGGAAAGAAGGGAGAGGAGAGATATAGAGGAGGAGGTGAGGAGACATATAGAAGAAGAGATGAGAGATACAGAAGAGGTGGAGAAGACAGACAGAGGAAAGAAAACACAGAGGAGAGGAGAGGAGGCATGAGGCCCCAGCTCTCCTGCCCTCCCACCCTTCAACAGTGAGTCAGCCCATGGTGAGACACCCCCCTTTCCCTTTCCCTGGCCTCTGAGCCTTGATTTACCTCTTTGAATATAGACAGAAGGCACAGAAATGTCTAGAGAGGGAAGAGGGGTGGGAGGAGGAGAGAGTATATATCAGAGAGGAAAGATGATGGAGAGAACACAGATGGTAGAGGAGAAAGGCTGACATTGAGATTTGAGGAGAGGTAAGAGATGTGAGAGAGGGCAAGATTAGGGAGAGCGATGTAAGGAAGAAGGGGATGGGAGATAGAAAGGAATCACTGAATTGTAGAGTCAGAAGGGAACATGGTGACTACCTAGTCCAAGATGACACAGATGAGACAAGAAAGGGAAGAAAAATGAGAATGGGTGAGAGAAATGGCAGATGGAGAGGGTAGGGAAGGAGGCAGTGTTGGAAGGGATGGGAGTGCAGGTCTGGCATAGGCTGAAGACAGCTGGTCACTAGGGCGGGGATCCCCAAAGGTATGGACTCTGTGGGTTGTGGCTGCTCTCCAGTCTCAAAATGGGGGGTTCTAGTTGTGGTCTCCAGGATTAAGACCATTTTGATGACTAATCAGAGAGTGTCCAACCTCCTTAAACTAACACTTGGTATTTTGTTTCCAGCCACTGTGTCTTTGCACTGATTTTCCTCCATCCCTGGAATGCCCTCCCCATTACTACAACCTCCCAGAGTCTCTGGCTTCCTTCAAAGCTAGGTTCATGTGCCATCTCTCCCGGGCAGTCTTTTCCAATTTTCCTAGTTGTTAGAGTTGTCCCCTCCTCATATGAGCCTGACTGTATATATCTTTTTATATGATGCATCCTCTCAGTAGACTGTAAGCCCCATGGGGGGTAGCAGTCATTTAATCTTTGTATCTTGAGGACCAACTCAAGTTTACTAAGCAGGTGCTTAGTAAATGCTTGCTGGATTCCATTGGATTAGAAACTTGTCTATTATCTGCCCTTGCCCTCTTCTTTGCTTTCCTTTCTCCTCTGCTTTCCCTTCCCCTCTTCCTTTTCACTCCCACTATGTGTCTAATGGTGTATATGGGCACATACTCCATCAGTTCTAAAGAATTCATCTGTCTCTTCCCGGATTTCCTTGTTATGGTTCCTCTTCCAATTACTGGCTGTGAACCTTGGGAGTTACTGTCCTTGCTAGCATACCCTCCTTTACCCGAAGGCCTAGGTTATGCTCTCTTTCCTGATCTCAGCTTCCTTGGTCCCTCAAAGAGGTAGGGAGAGGTCTTTTCTGTCTGGCCTTCCAGGTCCACCCCTTGGCTTCAGATAGAAGCTGTATCCATCTGAACTCCAGCTCAGTAGGATCTCTTTTTGAGGACCCACTTAGCTGTCCTGTTGTACTTGTCTCTCCTATGATTCAGGAATGTGGTTCTCTGCTCAGTTCCCCTTATCTTTGGGTCTTTCTTTCTCCCAGACTCTTCATCCTCTTTCCAACTTCTGAACCCCTTAGTTTTTCTAAAAGCTATCATCTCAGCACAAACTACCACATTATTGAACTGTCTCCCTTACCCTACCTTCAGCACCAGCAGCCCAGATGGTTGGCTCAGAGGTAACCTCTGCTAGGTTCATATAAATAGGGGGCAAAATCCTAATTTAGCACTTAGGGAGCTAAATTGGCCTGGTGGAAAAGCTATGGAGAGGGAATTGGCCCTATATACTATCTGTATGGTCATAGGCATGGTATTTCCTCTTCTGGGCCTCAGTTCCCTCATCTGTAAAATGACAGGGTTGGATCTCATGACCTACCTATGGACCCACACACCCTGTCCCAGTGCTGCTGTCTTTCTTAGAAGCACTTTATTTCCCAACCCCACAGCAACATTCATTTCTATGACAGCCTGATTTCCACCATTAGTTTGTAATCATCTCATTGGAGAACATAGCTACTTGAAAATTCACACATAAACTCACACAAGTACATACATACAAACATAAATGTACACACAGAGAGAAAAATGCCTACTTCTACACATATGATATGAACACACACACACACATGCACACAGATACACCTAATCCACACAGGCATGCATGAGACCCCACATATGTATGTATACAGAGCCACATGCATGCATCCCCAGACGCTCTCATGGTTACAAATGCACACAGAGATACAGACACATGCATGGATACATAGATTCAGATCCTTATACATATCCCTATATATCCATATGCACACACACGATTACTCCCCTGTGAGCACAGAAAGGGTTCCCTGGGTGGGCACTGATGCTGTCAGTGACTCTTATAGTATCCACATTGTATGCGCTGTGCATAGTAGTGAAAACACACAGTGTGTACAATGCAGGTTCTATAAAGTCAGGTGTGTCCCCCCTCAGGGCTCACCCCTGTGGGCTCATTCAACCAAGTGAGGCCCATACCCTGTGCTAGCTTGGTCCAGCCAATACTACACATCACAGCCAGCACCATCCCCCAACAAACACTGGTAACCTCCTCTCGGGTCTCAGCTCAAGAACCTCTCCTGGCTCCCTGTGGCCCGTCTGGTCTCAGGCAAATTCCCTGGCTGGAACTTTAAGGCTACTGCTGTTAGCTCCCAGTATGGTCAATGGAGATGCTTCACGGGACTGACCACAGTCCTGGTCAGAAGATCACACCTTTATATGTTCTATGATGGGCAAGGGCTTTGCCAGGGAGCTTTGTCCTAAGATCTAGGTGTGACCACTGGTCTCCCTGAATTGAGTGAAGGTAGCGGGGGAAGAGATTTCTGGAGGAAGTAGAAACATTCAGCCAAAGCCACTACCCTACCCTAAGTGTCCAACTGTCAGGAGCAGCAATGATAGTGGGGAGAGAGGGAGAGAGGGAAGGCATTCTTGGCTCAGCCACTTCACCAGATAACAGAATAAAAGAATTTTTAGGGCAAGAAAGGGCCTTGGAGATAGAGTAGTCTGTGGGGAGACAGTAGAGAGAAGAAGCAACATGCCTGATACATAGCAGAGCTGAGATTTGAACTCAGGTCTTGTACCTATCAATTTAGGATTCTCTTTCTCCTATACCACGCAATTTTTATCCCCTCCATATGCCTGCCATTGTTGGGGCTGCCTGCTCATAATGAGTTGGTCCAGGGTGTGGTGGGCAAAGCAGGGTACCCATTTTGTAGAGGTGCCACTAAAGTCTGTGTATTACTATGGAGATGGGGCTGGTGGGGCTCCTCTGGGAATTCCAGTCGTCTTGATCACAGGCTGTTAGATGGATGGGTGGGCAGAAGGGCTAACATCCCAAATTCCAGGAATGTCTTCTGCCAGAGATAGGACAAGAGAGCTACTAGGCAAGGGCTAGACAGGTGTCTCTGGTTATCATCTACTGACCCCTGTTTTCTGGTTACAGGCTGAGTTCTGACCCTAGTCACAGATGAAGCTCTGGAGCTGACCACTGACATTGAATAATTGGAGGTCGGAGCTCGAAGAGACTTGAGAGTCCAACCCCCTCATTTTACAGATGAGGACACTGAGGTTCAGAGTAGAAGGGATTTGCCTAAGGTTACACAGAGAGCTAAGGGCAGAGCTGGGCCTGACTCCCATCTCAGCGTTTCAATCCTGCAACATGCCGTGCCTCTTTAGTCCTTTCTGTGGCAGTGACCAGGTCTTGCACCCTGGTCCCATACTCATTTTCTATCACTGATGTCATTTCATTCCCACAAGTGCTACTTGCTGCCTGGGGACAACCAAGTGACTTTAGGTCTATGTGGGTGACTTCCTGAGACTCTTCTTGTATGTGGAGGCTGGACAGACAGTGTACATGAGTGTGTAAGAGGAATTTCCTAGTATAGGAACAGAATTATGAGGCAGCTACAGGACAGGCATGCAGGGCAGATATAATGTGATACATGCATGCACAGGGAGCTCTCACGATGCAGTTATATAGTCCCACACATGCATAGAGACATGCCCAGACACATGCAGATACAATGTATACATCAATCCAGGGAGCTACAAAATGTATATATGTTCACATGCAGATACACGTGTTCACACACACCAAAACAAAAATATACACATACCTTCCATCACAGACACACACACACATACACACACTTGCACACAGTCACAAGCAGGCACAAATGCACACAGATAGCTGTATTAGGTCATTGCCAAGGACAAGATGGGATGGACAGGAAGGCGGGCCTTTAGCATCCCAGTAGACGTACCCCAGCCGAATAACGTGAAACCCCAGAGATACTTTTTCTCAGAGAAAAAAGCCATGAAGATGAGGCTGTGAAGGTATAGGCCTTCCACCAGGATCCAGTAGTAGTTGGTGGTCAGGAAATAAAGGAAGACGGTTACTGCCACTCTGCAGCCCACCTGGATTGAGAGGAGACAATGGGCAGGGAGTTAGATGGGGTTGGTGATGCTCCCAGGGCTACCCTGTCTTAATCTACGCCCTAGGTGGAGAAACATTCTGTTAACACTGGAGTTTAGTCCTCCATGGATAACCCAAAATGGGAGAAGGCATGTGGTTGATGCCCTTCCATATTTCACTTCCACTCTTAGAAGATTGAGCCACTTGTTTATGTCTGATTATGTTCAGGCTGGTGTATGAATTACTTTGCACTTTCATGTATTTGTATGTTGGAGGTGAAGTTAGTGCTTGAACCTCTGAAAAGCCTTCTGGGGTACACTCTTTTGTGGGAGGGGCCAGTAGTGGGGAGGGACACTGAGAGTGGGAAAACATAGACAGGGAATGTCTAAAGGGGCAGCAGATGAGGATCTGGGGGGCACAGTAGTTGGGCAGGGCAAGAAGGGATGGGACATAGGCTGGGGCCTGGGACACTCACTAAACCCGCCTTATCAGTAGGGGGAGACTCCGGGAAGGCCCTCAGCTCCTCCTCAGTGATGCGCTTGATTTCGTCTGGGGAATCCCCTGAGTAGAGCACGGCATCCTTGATGAAGATGCTTATGGCCCGGAGTATGAAGGACACGAAGAGGTGCATGTGAATGTAGTTTCGGGTGCAATGCAGCCTCCTGGAGGGGGCACAAGGAACAGGGCATCAGGTTAGCGGATGCTCACAGTGATCTACAAGTCACAGGAAGTGCTGACCCCTTTCCTGCTCTGTCCTCTCCTCATGCTCCAGGTCCCCTGGTCTTTGCCTTTGCTGAGCTTGGGGGAGAATGAAACATTTCTGTAACAATAACAATAGTAATAGTAGCTCCCATGTCATTCGAGATTTAATATTGACATCCTCTTTCTTCTTCATT